CGCTCAAGGAAAATCCTCTGACTTTTTCCGCCAGCAGATGAATCGTACTCCAAGATTTCAGGTCGGCGATGCACGCCACGCAGAAATAATGGTTAATAATTCATGCGTTTTCACAAGAGACGAGACATCCATCAACTCTAGTTTATTTGTCCTTTCCTCTCTACGAACTAGAAAATATTTCCTGCTTTCACAACATGCAACCGCTTGACACTTTTAAACGACCATACATCAATCTTAAACTAAATTATAGCATTCCGAACGTGTTTTAACTTTCAGTTGATGCACTTGATTCACTTACAAAATTATGATCAACGAAAAATTTTCTTCTAGCAGTGCTGTGAAAAATAACCAACATATCGGAATCAGTTCCTCACTGAGCAAGTAATATAAAGAACGATGTTAAAATATTCAAACTTAAACTAACATGGTAATATGACACATATGGGAAAACTATGCTACCAGCCAGCAGAGCATATCTAACATTCCGGAGCTTATATAAAACACAATTTCGAAGCAAATGAACGTGCACGAACCTCACTGGCGTTGACTTCTACGTCCCTGCAGCATGAGTGACTAATTTATTAGTGATTCCGCGCGCGTAAACTGCCAAAGTCATTATTCCCGAAAGTGAAGTGCATGTTTTATCAAGGGATGTTGCGGTGATCTTCGCTGTTTGGCAAGGTCCAGCACCGGCCAACCCATCGGATAGCGGAGTTTTCCAACTTGCTATACCAGCGGGGGATTGTTTTAACCGAGAGAAGCTATATGATTCCAACTGGTCTCCCGACATGTATGGTAGCGTGATGCATGTAATTGAAATATGTGTAAGCGAGAGGTGAGGATAGAACAAGGAAGGAGAAGAAAGATTGCGCGTGGTCCACAGCCCGTTTATTACGCTACTGCTCCGGCATTCGTCTGGTGTTGATCGAAGAACCTACGGAAAACTACCGATCAGAGCAGCCGGCCGCTAGTATTCTCCTCCAGAGCGCGGCTGAACCCGCCGTATCTGACAAGCTAGTGTCGAAACTTCTGCCACCGTCAGGACTCGAACCCTAAGACCCCACGCTCAGAGGCACTGCAGTGACATCATTTGATGCCCTGAGACACCTACACCCTCCTGCTCCAGAGGTGACGACGGCAAGGTCGTTATCAGCTACGTTTGCTGGAAGAAGCAAAGGAGTCTGAGACGGAGATGATGACTAAATACAGAAATGGATGTATATAGTGAACATGAATATGCAGGTACCTCATGAAGACTAAACTTCAACAGAGAGTAAAATTTGAAATATCACCTGATAACATCTTAACAAATCTAGCGTGAATAAACAGACCTAAATTGATGAACACAAATTATTTTTATAGCAAAATTAATAAGACATTCTTTCCTATTGGAGTCTTCTTGTTGGAGATAATGGTTTTTATTAAATTTATGTACGTAAATACACATGCTCCAGCACTAAAAGAAATTTAACTTACCTGATTATTCACCACTTTAGAGAATAATTAGGAGAATCCAATAGCTCTCTTCTCATTTTCAGAAAAAGTAAACTTATCAGCTTATTCACCGCGGTCAAAGATACAACGATGCATCAATGACGGTGACCCAGTGTTAAAGGCTGTGTTACTGACGTTTCGACCATCTTATCGTGGTCTCAGTTAAGACCAGCCCCGAAGAAGACCACAACAAGATGGTCGAAACGTCGGCAACACAGACTTTGACACTGTCACTCGGACAGCAAAGATAATTTACATGATTCTGGCCGCGGAAACCTACGACCTGAAACCTTATCAAGTGCGAAATGAAATCGTCACAGAGTGCGTGTCCAAAAAAAAGATAAATATGATAGCGGTAGACCTTTTGGTTTTAGTGAGAGCCAGGGAGAAGATATTGGAAGTAAAACCGACAGAAGACATGAGCGAGGTGTGGCTTAGAGATATTGGAGTCATACAACTTGTCGGAGAAGGGTGAAAGAGGAATAGAGTGACAGGATTTGATGAGCGAGAATCATACAGGAGGCGACAGCTTCGGTGGCTGTCCGGTTTCGGTGGCTGTCCGCCGGACTAGACATGCAAGAGCATTGCTTTTACTACCTTGCTGGTTTATCAGATGTTATCAAATAGAGATGTTTATTGCTTTTTAGATACTAAGAAGAAATCAAAAACAATGAAACAGTTACAATTTTGTCTGAGATATACAAATATTAGATTAACTGATTTAATCTGGCTATTCTCATACTACGCGAACCGATTTAATTCTCATATTTGATTCGTCACTGCTGCGACACAGCTGACATTGTACGGCTGCAAAACTTCAAGGAAGAGACCTTTCGCCATTAAAATATTGCTATTCGAATGTTGCGTCTTGGAATAGTTACTTTTTGAATATTTTTGGTATGTACAGAACTGTTAATATATTCGTAACATATATATTATGTTATTGCACTGGAAAAACTATTTTATATGGTTTTCCAAAACAAGACAACTACATCGTCGACGACAAACGACGACGACGACGACGACGACGACGACGACGACGACGACGACGACGACGACGACGACGATAACAACAACGATTACGACGAAGACAGTGACAACGATAATGACTGCAAAGGCGACATTCACCAAGAAGTCGATTGCAACATGAAAGATATCTACACCTAAAGACAACGGAACCAATCCGGAGGCACCATCCGCAGAAGCAGCGAACTCTCCAACTTTCCTGCTTCCCTGAGCGGCAGCGGTGGCGGAGGCGGCCATGGGGAGCCCAAAGTAGGGCGGCGGTCCCGCCTCGATCTGTGTGCACCGCGCAGGCGATTGGTGGCGATTGGTCTGGCGATGGCGGCGGTGGAGGCGGGAGGGCGAGATGCCGCGCCAGATGTGGTCCGGCGGCGGGGGCGGCTTGGGCGGCGGGCGGCGGCCGGGGGCGGCGGGGACGGCGGGACGTCGCGCGGGTGGCGAGGGACGTTGCCACGGGGGGCGGCGAGGCCGGCTGGGGGCGGGAAGGCACTCTCCCTTCGGGAGCAGCGGCGTGGCTCTTCTCTGCGCGCAACACTTTTCGCTCGCGGGGTAGCAATTCTCAGGCAATGCGTTCCGGAGACGAATACGCTTAATAACGTACAAGTAACTTCTTTATCTGTGTAAGTCTTATAGACTTCTTTAAGTAACATAGATATTCAAATTATCGTTCTTCATGTTCTCACGGCAGGGAAATCCTCCACAATTCCTTCACGAAGAGGGATAATACCCAAGCTCTGTAGCTGATTTACCTTTCCAAATAGTTTTTATTACGCTGGAGCAATTTTTTCTTATCAATCCTTGTCAAAAATGTTTATTCCAACTGTATTCAGAATTCAACTTACAGGAGTTATGATACAGATTCCAGAATTTCAGAAAACACACAAATAAGGATGCGTTTACAATTTTTTTAAATATTCAAAGTGACCAGTGAAAAAAGCATTTCTTCACCGATTTTGCTCTTTCGCGTCACCACTTTAACGGAATAACATTATTACAACAAACAGTAAACACTAAGAAGGATCATGGATTATAGGTCAAAGCTTCAACGTCTAGCATCCATCAATACACTGGGCAGCATTAGCAGCCTCAATGAACTGAGAGGCACCGCCCACACCGCTTTTCACGGCACGATGGGGGCAACTAATGTAGATGCAGTGCCTCTGACCGGGAGGTAATACACATCGAATCCCGACGATCGTAGCACTTTGGACTACATAGCTACGTCGAATTTACTTGCTGCCGGAGGAGAATTTCAGCAGTCCGTTGCTCTGATCGGTAGTTTTACGTTCTTTCTCCAATCAATTTTGTCCGGTTCTCACCCCTTCCTGACCCGCTCGCTTCCATGCTCTACACCACCACATATGCTGGGAAACTAGTTGGCAGCTTTGAGCTTGTCCCGGGTGAGACGGTGCCCCGCTAGTAGGAGATACCTGGTTAGGGAAACCCTCACAAGACGACGTAGGTCGGCGCGGAATCTCGTCATAAAACAATCGCCATCTCCCGCGTTAAAACATGCCCTACAATTACGGGACTAATGACCCTAGCAGTTGACGCGCCAAGAACCACTAATCAATCAAGCACACGACGTCGTAAACAACACACCTCGTGAAAACCACGTTCATCAAGTGTCAGTATCAACATCTCGCTATCAGAAATCCACATACAATACATGTACGTTACTTTACAACGCACAGCCAGATGAGATTGAACAATTGAAATCTGTTCACAAATTTAAGTTAACAGTAAAATGTTTTCCGATGCATAACTGTTTCTATACAATTAGAGACTATACTGATTATCAAAATGAAAAATAATGTTTAACAAAATTGATATTAATGAATTAATTTACATTTGTATTGTATAACTTTTTTAAAGACTTAATATGTTTTTAACAAATAATGTACATCTTCCGGGTCAATGGCCCCCATCTCGATCAGGTTATTGTCCCGTTTCCCTGATTCATTGAGCAAATGCTGAGATGGCTCCTTGTTTTGCTTCTGGAGGTAAATGTAGCTTCACTACGCGCACGTTTTGTTGAACTCTCTTTTTTCTTGTAATGGTATGAGAAGAGGTAAGGGGGAGTTGCTATTATGTTAGCAATGCAGAAAAATCATACTTGCAATCCGTGTACCGATGCAAATACGTTTTCTATAACTTAGAAACGAAAATGACTATTTTTCAAATATTGCTAATATTGTGATTTTTAAAATTTATTTTTATTTATTTATCTTTAACTTTTACTCATCTTCCAACTATTTATAGTTAAAATAACAGGAAGGGAGTCTGGAACACAAGAAAACGTGCGCAGATAATATCCCCCCCCCATACGTCATATACAGTGTTTACTTTTTTGACTGAATAAATCTAAAAATCTAAATCTAAAAGCGAAGGGGTACTGGGGCGAGGTACCCTCAGCGACGTGGGCCTGCGCGGTGCCGCTGCTGTCGTCCCCCTCGCAGCCAGCGATGGCAGTTCGGGGCCAGCGATGGCGCGCGGCGATGGTGTAACGGTTAGCGTATCGGACTGTTATACCAAAGTTGGCGGGTTTTTAAACCCGATCGAAACCGTGGATTTTTAAGGGCGAAAAAATCCTTCGTACGACTTCCTTTGGAGGGGAAGTAAAGCCGGCTGTCCCATGTTAGTAGATTTACTTGCCTGTAAAAGATCCTAAATGACGCCTCTGAGCTAAATTCAAAAATCGCCTGTTTCTCACCCAAGATATACCGCCTTCCTCTGCGAGTTGGTGAGAAGAGCGTAGCGAAATTTGCGCGATCAGACGGAAGAGCGGGCCTGATGGCCCGTGTCTTGCCACGTAAAATAATGCATCAATTCAATTCAATTCAATGGAAGGGCGCGGCAAGCAAAGAGGCGCCGCGGACTGGAAAGTTGTCCGACCGGCCTGCGGCGCTCGCGTGAACTGGACGAGGAAAGGTTCGCACAAATCCATCCAGTTCCCTCGAACCTGATTTCCCAGCGCAGATATCCGGACGGTCGCGGCGCAGAACGTTACCAAATATGACGCTGACGACAGCGCGATCGCAAACCAGCTCACAAGACGCTGCAGTCCGTACGCTGGTTAAATCTACACAATTAAATCATTGGAGGATATTCATTAGAAAGGGTGCAGTCAACAATTATGAAATCAAATGGCAAAAACTCGTAATCAAGATAATCCGATAAGATCTTATATTGACCGAAATATCTTGAATTGCAGAATACTCACAGAAGTCGTTAAACTTTTAGTTCTTCTTGGGTGTCGCAATAGAATCCAGTCTTTCTTGTTCTTGTATCTTGTTAATTGTAGTACAACGAAATGTGCTTTACTACTATTGATAGCCCTTTACTACTTGGCTCTCCATATGTGTGAAATTTAATGTGTTCTTCACAATAGTTCGGAAATTTTTTAATATTCTAATGCTATTGAACTCACGAAAGTTCACTTTAATGTACTCGCCAATTTGTTTAGTTAGAAAGTATTTTATTGCAGCTGAATTGGGGTGTTGTATTGTGGTTCAATACTCGAGGCAGGTCATATGCACAAATATTGGATGACTTTTAATACTGACTGCCGTTTCTGTTTGTTCTTCTTCTTCAATGAGAACTGAGAACTTTGAGTGAGTAAATACATTGTATTGCACAGGGTTGCTATTGTTCGTTTTTGAATGCGAGTTTGATTTATGCCAACCCTTTCCGTGCTTTTTGTTTTTGTTTGTTTTTTTTCACTTGCAAGGGTCAATGTTTTGCGCAGGAGCTGGTGGCTGATTTGCTTATTTACCTTGGTCATGTTGATGAGGATATATTTGGTCGATAAGACCGCTTTGCTGATAAAACGCTGGTAGCATTTGTTCGAATTTTTGCTGCTGAACTGCTAGTTGTGTGGCCTGTTAAGGTACTTGCAGCTGAACATATCCAGGTTGATTTAATTCTACCAACTGTGGTTGTGGACCTAATTGTTGCACCATACGTTGTTGCGGTGGTTGAAATACTCGATGATGGATTTTAACTTCAGTCCCCTCAGCCTGCTTTCGCCCATAGGAACACTTAAAATCACATTCATTTGCCCTGGATTTAATTCCGTATTAATTCGTAATTGCTATTTACTTTTTATCAATCGACACTTGTGTCTTTAGAGGACATTGAGGTACCGTAAACACTTGCTACTAGGACCCAATTTTCAATGCTTTGTAGTTTTTCCTTTACTAATCTTTGAAAACTAAAAAATGTGTATAATTTTTTTCTACATATCTATGTGTTTATTGTAAAGTGCTCGAGACTAGTTTGATAAGATATATTGTTTTTGAAAATTGGCTTCAAGTTACACTGCTGGGTGGGCTATTTAAAACAACGCAATGTTTTCGTACATAAAAATACTGAAATTTGCACGGGTTCGATGTGCTCCTAGGGTTTCTTCTACAAACATGAATGTAAATGTACTGCAAACGAAGATAACTTCAATAACTGAAATACAATTTTTATTATCCTATTTTTTTCGGTAACTGATGATGCCTAAAACATAATTTCACTCATTCTCGCTCTGGCATATTATCTTAGAAAACAGTAACAGTCCTGCCACCCATAGATAATTAAGACTTCACAATAAATCTGAAATCGAGTTTATCAACAGGAAATTTGAAATTACTGATTTAGTGACGTTGCCATGCATAGTCTTATTTTTCGTCTTTAGGAAACAGTTTAAAATGGCCTGTATTCTGAATGGATTTCTTCTTCAGTCCCCTTTTTATAGTCGATCAACTAATAAGTCGATCGACGCTAAAGGAAGCTTTGGCTTGGCTTTGTGTTATTATTCCCCCATTTGCTGTCAAACATTCCTCAAGTCTAGATTTTTTCTGAATTTTGGGTTTTGACTAGTATAGTGCTACGTTCATTCGAATCAAATAATGATTCATAAGTTGCATTGGCATGTGTGAAATATGTATTAGTTTGAGAAATAGCTCTTATGCTGTTCAAATAATTTACTTTTTTAAGTACGAATGACATTTTATTTTAATAAATTATTTTTATATTCAAACTAGACGAATTACCTACCTCTCCGCTTAAGTATTTAAAAGTACTCTGACAAAAAAGTACCCTACCTAGAACCCCATGTAAATGGTCAGAGAAAAAACAAAAATTAATGTCTTCAAACAAGTATCTATTATAAATCGTCGTTCACCGTTGAGAGTAGAATGCAAATTATTAATATTTTAATCAATCATAATACGAACAATGAGATATATGTAAGTCCTACATGGGGTGAAACTTCTCCAAGTTATCAAGCTAACCACTATCAACGAGCTCAGCATAGTCCAAAATACAAATCTCAGATCAACACTAAATTCACCAAGGTACATCGCAAATCAACAAACGAGAATTAGTTGTATAAGATTTCAAGGAGGTTCAAGGAGAGGGTAACATATCTGGCCAAATTTTTTTTCAACAACTTCCCAAACTCTCCCTAGTCTACAATGTTTAACTTAGGTAGAATCAACAAGAGACCCCGCATTAAATCAAGATTCCCAGAAGACCGATTCAAACATCCATATCTTTTATGCATCTCTGTCCCACACATCCGCCCTCCAACTTCCTTCTTACTTAGCTCTATACTAGTCAAAACCCAAAATTCAGAAAAAAATCTAGACTTGAGGATGGCTATATCTTAAAGCTCTATACTATGACCACCATCAAGGGCTACGTGGATCCTTAAGGTACTACTTGGATCCCCGTGAAAAAAATGTTTTCAGTGGTTGTAGTCGCTTATACATTGAATTGGCCTGTTTCTTTGCAGTAGCTTCCATACGAAGGCAATACAGTGCAGCATTAAACGCGTTTAGCATAATTCGGTGGTACACCTATAAGTTACAGTACTCTATTAAGTATCTGAAGTCGGAAATATGCGGATTATAAGGACCATCAGATTGAGGAATGTTTGACAGCAAATGGGGGAATAATAAGTCAAATTGTTTCATAAAAATGTTTCAAGGAATGAAAGAGATTCAAAGAAGATATTCAAACAGGCAGTATTTTCAAAATACTATTTCTATCTAAATATTAAGTAAATTTGCCTGAACATGTACTTTATGAACGCCATGAATTGCACTTTATCTTCTAACAATAAGTATACACGTGACATTAGAATAAGTGGTACACCCATGAAATGCGACATAGAAAACCACTAACCCTTTTCAAACCCGTTAAAAACGAATACACAATGATTAAAACAAGCAGTATTTTTACAGCTTCTGCTCCAATTGCAAAAACATAAAATGAGAAGTGTCTCTACAACGTATGATTAAGTGATTAGAGCAGCCCTACAATATCCTATTTCATGACGCTTGGTACGTGATCAGACGACTGCACTGCAAAATGTTACTGTATCAAGAGCTCAGTCATCTCAGGAACACAACTTCGGTTGTTCGACAAGCGGAGCATAACGCAAACCTTAATTGGCCGACATTTCTTGCCATTAAGGGAATTTCTGCGGAGCACTGGCCTCTAGCCGGCTTCTCCTTCTCCAGAGCAGAGCCTTAAGGAGGAGGGGGAGGTAAGAGGAAAATGATGACAGCCGTTATCAACAGCAAGGCGCGGTGAAAAAAGCGTAGGCTGAGCGCAAGGAGGCACACAGTGATTCAAAACGACGCAAAGAACGGGATAAAATTGTTTCCGATACTTTTGAGACAATAATTAATGGAACGAATTGGAATGGAACGAATAATAATGAGCCAATAATAATAATTAACGAAAGCAAAATATTGTGAATGAACCCCGTCCTACAAATTTTTTTACGGTTTTCATTTTTTTATACATTAATGTCGGGGAAAATGCTGTCTAAAAAAGGTTAATTGTACCTAATTGTTAATTTTCCTTGATGCACACAATGAAGACAATTCTAAATAAAGCATTTTTTACTATTTCTTTTATATAGTTTCAACATAAACACACGTTTTGAATTATATAGGAACTCTCTCTCTCTCTCTACATTATTGTTGCATTAACTAAGAAAACAAAAAATATTCAAAATTCGTGGCGTAATGGAATACCTTAAAATTTAAAGAAATGGATTTACTCGACTTTCTGAGTCTTACCGAAGTACTAAGATAACCCAATCCGATTGCAATCAAATTTTGCACGAATGGCGTTGAAAAGTCGAGAGAAATCATACGGGGGAACGCGGTATGAAAGTGTTACCGTAAACTTGGTTATCACCAATAAGGGTAGAGAGGAGGTGATTGACAGACGATTGTAATCTGGGCAATACTGGTTATTAAGCCAGTGCAATATTACAAAAGGAAAACGTTTTTAAACGAATTAAAGGAATTTATCAGGGAAGCTTTGCACCTGCTCTTTGGCCTGAATTTATTAGAAACCAACAAATACGCTACAAAATAATGAACTTTGAATTTTTAAATGTTGGAATCTGGGGCCAAGGGGAGTCTTAACCAGCTCAATAAAACCTAGCAACCCAGGGATGTTAAAACTTTGTTCTTTTAATTTGCTCTATTCGTACCTTTTAGTTCAAAAATGGTCAAGAGGACTAAAATCTCAGTTAAACAATCAACCAAATCAATCATATACCTTTCTGATCACTGTGTTACATAAAGGGTTCACTTCTCAATTCACCGATCAAAGTGATCCTTTCGTACATTCTCATCTAGTATTCGGCGAAATTTCGAAAATTCTACGCAAGTTGATTCCTCAGAACCGATCTATTTGACGCGCGACATGGGGTGGGTGGTAGGTACGGGGAAGAAGACTAGGTTTGTTAATTAACAGAATGCCGGGTCGTTTGAACGAACTTCCATTCATAGCATCGGAAGAAAGGACCCGTGGAGTTAACTAAGGGCGGGAAATCGATGTCTCTGCATCAACTCTGACGGGAGGCCCTAGGGATCGAGTTCCGACAGGGGCAGATTTTCGACAATAGAACGAATTTAGCCGCTGTTGGGAGGCGAATCCTAGCGGCCAGCTGCACTGATCGTTAATTTTCGTCTTTTTTCCAATGAATACCAGGTAAATGCTGGAGCAGTACCCTCACAAATGAATCACGAACCGAGCGCGATTTGCCCTTCCCTTTCTTTGGCCTATCCTCTTTCTCTCTCTCCCTCCCCCACTTCCTCCCCTCCCCTCCCCCTGCCCTTCCCCTTTCCCTCCCCTTCCCCCAGAAATATGTTGAGGCTGCGTTAATTGTGTGATTGGTTTTATTGTATGCTCTCTGATACGAAATGTAAATTTATATTTACATAATTACATTTTTTACATTTTGTGCTAGCTATCTATCTATCGAAAAGCAAGGAATTCGGCATTTTTGAGATGGCATATAGTGCAGCCGTTTCCCTCCTCCGTGACGTCAGAAGAATACACAGATTCCCCGCGCTAACTCTACGGCGAGTGCGTTATGTCTTCCCAAGGGTGGAATTCGCTAGCAGGTAAGGCCAAGGAGGAGATGTGGGGAAGACTCAGGTCCCCGGTTTACTACAATTGTAGGAAGCAAGATTGTTGTTTAAGAATTACCGATAAAACTAGCTTCCCTGCAAACGCTCACAGCATTGCACGCGCGACAGAAAGAAAACAGATTCACTATTAGCAGTGGAAGCGCGTGAACATTGCGTGTCTGCATGGAAAAGCGGACTTATTAAGCTTTCTCGGAGTTGCTATCGTACGTATCCTCACGCAACACAAGTCGTAATCAATGTAGCATGACCGACGTTGATTGCGGTTGATTGACGCATAAGGTACCGGAGTGATGAGAGGTGTATCTGGATAATGGCTCGATGATATAACAGAAGGAGCATGATATTGGAACTCTCGTAATAGCCATTAATGGCTTCATTCAATGGAATTTGGC